AAACGCGCACGCATGTGCGTGTGTGCGTTTTTTTTAGAAAATGCTTAGAATGGCCTAAAACGTATACAAAATGATTTCGAGACGATTTTGAGCATTTTAAAATTTTACGCGCGCATTGACGCGCGGACGTACGCGCACGCGCGCGTTATTTGACCTGCAATTGACCGGAAGGATATTGACCTTGATCATGATAAATATAAATGAGAAATACTTTTTGGTTATGAAGATATGATCATGAATTGATTTTCGTAAAATTTTACAAAATGGCACCTAGATGACGTCATCAGTCAAGGTCAAGGTTGAAAAAAATTCTGTGCTTTGTACATATGCCTATACATATGTATGCTAAATTTCTAGGCATTTGATTGAGCCATTTCTAAGTTATCTTGTTCACAAAAAAGTGGTTAGAAATAAGAAAAATATTTAATAATAAATAATAAATAAATAAAGGCAATTCTAACGAAATTATAAGGTGGTCTGTACGTTATACAGCCCACCTGATAATAAATAAATAAATAAATAAATAAAGGCAATTCTAACGAAATTATAAGGTGGTCTGTACGTTATAAAGCCCACCTGATAAATAAATAAATAATAAAGGCGATTCTAACGAAATTATAAGGTGGTCTGTACGTTATACAGCCCACCTGATAATAATAATAATAAAGAAAATCTTGACGAAATCAAAAGGTGATACGTCTACGTACGTATCACCTAATAAATAAATAAATAAATAAATAATAAAAATCTTGACGAAATCAAAAGGTGATACGTCTACGTACGTATCACCTAATAAAAATCTTGACGAAATCAATAGGTGATACGTAGACTTCGTACGTATCACCTAATAATAAATAAATAATAAAAATCTTGACGAAATCAAAAGGTGATACGTCTACGTACGTATCACCTAATTATAATTATAATTATAATTATATCACAGACACTGATTTCACGTAGGGCCGTGTATCTCTGATATAACATTGTTAAACGATCCCTTTAAAACAAAGAAGAGGAATATCAAAAAAAAAATTCACCGATCAAAGTCTAGTTAGGAGAATAAAACAAATAACTGTGTGTCATCCATCCAGGTTAAATTTAAAATGAGATTACCCTACTATTATTATCCTTCTTATCTCTGGTTCCTGATTACAGTCACTTTAGTTGATCTTTGTTATGAATGACTTTAATGCCCAAATCTTTATCTTTGAACAGGGCAAAGATGCGACCGTCTGTACTCCAAACATGTTGTTCCGTGGGACAAGCTTTTGCATGATTAAGTAGTTCCTGGTTACTAGACGTGAGGTCCTCGACTATTGACTTATTTTGACCTTTCAAGTCTGCGCCTTTTCCTAAGGATCTCCTGCCTTTTCTTATTTGTTTTAAGCTTTACTATAATACCACGTGGTATCTGTCTGCCTTCTTTCTCTTTCTTTTCCCCTACTCTTCGACTGATATCGATGTCTTCTAATCGAAGGTCTACATGTAGAATGTTATTCGCTAGGTCAATTATGATCTTATCAGCGTTTTCTTTTAGCGCAGCCAAATACCCGAATACAGTTTCGTTTGGAGTATTGTTCCTGATCATTCACTTTGTTGTCTATTCTAGCAAAGTGATTTTGATGAGTGCTGACTTTGTCTTTGAGAATCGTAATTTCCTTGGATTTGTTGTCGTTGCTAGTCTGCAAGTCAAAGATATCTGCTTTCAGCTTATCAATAGACCCTTCCATTGCATTCATTCTTTTTTGAATAGATTCCTCAACCAGTTGAATACAGCCGTCATTCTGTAGAATGTCTTTGATGATGTCCTGCACTAAAGCAGGTTTGATACGCTCCTTGGTAGATTTAGCTCTGGTTACAGGTGCTTCCTTAGAGATATGAGTGTGTGCAGTAACGTGAATGAATATTGTAAAGGCGTGTTCACTGATCACACAACATATCTCTTTTTTATTTTAGCTACGAGGAAGCAAGGTTGCACTAGCAATAAAATATATTGATAAAAGTATTCCCTTTTCGTTATTTTATTGAGGTACTGAAGAGACTGCACACTTACAAAGTGTAGACAAGTCTAGCAAATAAATGATTCAGAATGAGAATCACATGAATGAGAATTGATAATATTACACGCAGATTCAATGGTCATTATAATGAGATGGACATGAATAAATGCAGTGAATGAATATAGCTTACGACAGTGATAGAAATGAAGTCGAAAGTCCAATGAACATGATTGACGGATGAAACGAAGTAAGGGGCTCACGCGATGACGATGCAGAGGCTTGAAGGCGGAGATGTAGCTTCGTTGTCGTGGCTGAAAAGCCGTGAAGGATCTCAATGCTGACGCTCATGATGATGATGATGATGAAGAAGCTCTCAGGCGAGAAGAGAAGAGAAGAATGCGGCGCTCGACGATGAAAACAGTGAGTCGTTTGATGTCAGAGGTCAAGGTAGAAAATGCAGGCATCAAAGCCGGTAGTGGTGCTGAGCAGTGAGTCGCTCGATTGATGCACCGAACTTTGATGGTAAAATTCATCAGAGTTGCAGTTAGTCGAACTCGTAGATGAAGTGGCAAACGAACTACGGTGAGTCGAGTTTGTGTGTGAAAAGCTACCGGAGACGAAACTGGCAGCTCCCAGCAGAGAATCAAGCGCTATGTCGGGTCCTGATGTAAACGTTCCACTGGGAAACTGCCAGCCCGTTGAAGACGGCGGAGAAAGAGTTGACGTGCCGTAAAAGAGGTGATAGGCACGGAAGAATCTCGAATGTAGAGAAGAACTCATAGAGACGTCTGGACTCAACTGAGATGTAAGCAGGAGTGAAGAAAACCTCGTGGTGATGAAAATACGCGGGTGAACGACGCACGGAACCACGATGCGTGATTGAAGGAATAAACACACGTGGTCCGAATAATGAATATAAATAAGTACCGTGATGGAAATTAACTGTAACATGAATGTACAATACAAGTAAGGCGAATGAATGAGTCGCTACACTTCCACATTGTTTGCGATTATTTGAAGATATCAGGTTAGGGACCTCACATAAATGGTCACGAGGGGCGTCAATAGTACAAAACCAGCTGAAACTTTAGAAAGTAGCAATAGCTTCCTTGAAGAGACAATACACAAGCTACATAAACACATACCACAGCTGGGAGTATAATTGAGCAAGTAGAATAGTCGCCACAGTACAGATGTGTACCAACTCTAGGGAAGATATACAACAACTTTGAATATATGGGGCTGTAGTAAACACATCACTGAGAGAGTAAATCTCATAATTATATTAAAAAGTCACCTAAAATATGACTCCAAGCGGTGACATCATAATTCCAATAGATTACTGGAGGATTTAAGTTGTGCGAAGGACTTTTACAAGGTAAAAAGTAATCCAATATATTATCCAAAAGGTAGAATTTACAACTGCCGGGCAGCGACTCTACCATCAGGCCATCACTGGTCCATGGCACTGTCCCGCTGGTTCCAAGATTTTTTCTGACTTGATTTTCAATTACAGATCGATCGATCGATCTTATTTACTGGGTGTAAGCAACAAATATGTTTAAATAATTGAAATTTCTCCCAGGAAGCATTACATTTATAAAAGTTATTGTCCTATGGCGGACTAATGAATATTAATAAGTCAGAATGAATCAGGAGAGCTTGGGTATTTGTTTCTAGTTCATCTTGACTGTGCCATGGACCAGTGATGGCCTGGTGGTAGAGTCGCTGCCTGGCAGCGTAATTCTTTTTCCCCACTTGAGCTCCGGACCCCAGTATGAACTCATTTGCATACAGCCAATCAGAGCTCATCTTGTCAATCACAAGCTTTACGCGTGCTAAAGATGCGAATCTGTAATAAATTTGCTAAAAGTAGAGATGCTAGAGCAGAAATGAAACATTTGCAAGCCTATGCCTATGCACGCACACCATGCATGCTGATATAGGCAAGGCGCTGTGTGTACGTGTATGAAGCCCCAGAGCTTCGAACTGTTTAGAGCACGCCTAAAGCTCGTTATTGACAAGATGAGCTCTGATTGGCTGTATGCAAATGAGTTCATACTGGGGGTCCGGAGCTCAAGTGGGAAAAAAATTACGCTGCCCGGCAAGTAGTAGATGCAGGTTCAAGTCCGACCGGTTCTAAGATTTTTTCTGACATTTTTTAAAATTACAGATCGATCAATCGATCTTATTTACTGGGTTAAAGCCACAAATATGTTTAAAGGAGTCACACCAAGAAGCAAAAGTGTATTGAATTGATGCAAAATTCATATCATTGCGAAGGGGAAGCCTTACTGATCAAATACAGCAAATTTCCTTTTCAAAATATGTTTGGGGCCCGCAGAAATCAACTTTCAAAAATGTTAGTTTTGAGATCGAGCAACGTGAAACGGTTTTTAGTCAGCGCTGACCATTTATCAGCGCTGACAGATTTAGTCAGCGCTGACAATTTTCCGCCGACAAATGTTGATGAAACACCCCCCAGATTTACTGCCTTCAGCAGTCCTTCGTTTGACGTCACTATTGTGACGTCACAACCTGGACACGGCTGTCTAGCTGCAGACTAATACACGCGCGACTCCGGTATGCGGCCGGTACCGAGCTGTTTGTCCAGGTTGTGACGTCACTATTCAGAGCTCGCTACGCTCGTGTGTTTGGCTTACGTTCGGGGGCGCTTGGGGGTCTAAGAAGGGTCTTGAAAAATTGCATTTTACGCCTTTCCTTGATATCTATATATGATTTCTCAGCAAATTATTCGTGTTTTTCAAGAGAAATCTTTCCATCCATATGTAATTTGTTCTATTTATCAGTTGTTAGTAAATTTTCTTTCTGTAGCTCCTTTAAACAATTGAAATTTCTCCCAGAAAGCATTACATTTATATAAAAAATATTAATTGATGAAAATAAACATGGTAACGAACGGTACTAACATTGAAATACCGTACATTAATACATATCACTATCAATTCGTATCATGCTAAAGAATAAAAGTAAGATGATTTACCAACCAGTAAATGGGTTTTCAATGCGGTCCACTGAGGAGACAAAGGTGAGAAAAAAGAATGGTATTAATATTGAAGAAAAAAAATCTTGTTAATGCAAAGTAAATCACAGTCAGGTGGAATTCTGCCTAACTAGGAGTTGGGGGAAGATTTCGGAATAGTTTAAAAAGCGAACGGTAAATAAAGCAACATCGAGTACATTAATTTGCAAACTCAGGAGGTTTCTCACGATTGTTTAATGAATGCCTGGGTGTATTGGCTGTGGACAGATTGACCGATTGAATGACTGTTGAATTGAATCAAACGCAAAGTGTATCACAGTCAGGTGGAATTCTGCCTAGCTAGGAGTTGGGGAACACCTCGGAATCGTTTAAAAAGCGAACGGTAAATCCAGCAACATCGAGTACATTAATTTGCAAACTCAGGAGGTTTATTAAGATTGTTTAATGAATGCCTGGGTGTATTGGCTGTGGACAGATTGGCAGATTGAATGAGTGTTGAGTTGAATCTAACGGCTGTTGTAAATCGACAGCGCCCTCTGAGCTAAGTAAGAATCCAGAAGACTGACATGGAACTGAAACTTACTGATCCGAACATACAGGTGAAGAGGAGGATCGCTAGATGGGTCAACAGTCAAGTCATTCTCCTCACTGAGATAGCACGTGGATGGAGTATAGTCAAACGATCTACATATGAAGCTGGATGCTGACACACAGGCCGTGGCGCATTCTTCAACCGTGACGCTAGGCAGGACTGCGTTGTTGTAACCTGTAAGATGCCTTTCTTTGATGAACATGAAATCTGTACGACCCGTCACAAGGACTAAGGAATGGAAAGAAGGACGAAGCACAGGGTCAGTGTCATTTCACCAAATATTTTCCAGAATGGTAATTCCTGATTTTTATATCATTGGGATAATTTTCAGTATCATCTGCATTGTCGTCGTCGTCGTCGTCATAGACATCATCACCAGCATAATAATAATAATCGTCACCATCGTCATCATTATATTCATCGTTTAAATCATTATCTGTATTGTCAACGTAACAATCATCTCTATCATCTAACAAGTATGATAACCACCATTTCTCGGAGCGCAAATTTAATTTTGTTTCATACTACTTCTCTTTCCGGGAGTCATAATGCCAGATACGTTTATTGTCAACCTTTTTTAGGATAACAAATTGTTACAAAGCTATGTAATAATAAGTGATTGTTTTCATATTAAACTTACAAGATTCATCTCCCTTGCAGTATAATGGTCCTAGTGTATAATACCCGTACTCGTTTAATTGACCTGTGTCACCGAACCTCATTTCAGTAACAGGTAAGGTAGTCTTATCGGTAAGATACCCCGAGTCCTCTCTCCAGGTTTCGTCCTTGGTATCGCAGTTGCATGGGTGACCGTTTGGGCATGAACCTGAAAGACGAAGATCAAGATGAATTCGTTCATAGCTTATCTCGATTGGCTTTGTAGGTCGTTCATTTCAAATTAAACGTATTAACATGTTTCTCCGATGAGCTGGGAGTTTGCTTTAGTGCGCAAAAAGCTGCAGTGTTGACACCTTCTGCAACGCCAATTTTTCGGTTTATGTTCTGGAATAGTACTTCACTATTTGAGATAATGTTTTACAAGGACATTACTGCTGTTGCATTCATGTGAGATAATCCCATTCCATTCAGTGCAGAGCAATCAATATACAGAGTTTGACCAACACGGTATTAGTTGGTTACAATATTGCAAATACTGCTTTGTCGAAGGCAAGCACAAAAGAAATGAATAAAAATACGTCATGTTGAACCAACTGATGCCAATTTGGCCAAACTGGATGGCTCTGATCCAGTAAGCCAAGGACGCCCTCTATTATGACCTACAATCATACCTGAGATTCCACAAGCGCACTCTCCGCCGTCTACCGTGGCTCCACCCCAGTAGTTCTTCTGCGTTCCGTCTCTGTCATACCAAGCATTAAAGCCAGTCATATAGGAATGATGGCATTCGTACTAAGACAGTAATGGAAGAGAAAAAAAAGACGAAATATCACCCTGACATTGCTGAAAATCTGCGATCACAGAAAATAGGTAATGTTGAACCCTAGATATGATGTAGCATGTCATAGCACGTCCTTTTTTTTACACAATCGTCTTCTACGTCATTATCAATATCTACATGTATCTTCTGAATGATCACTGGTCTTCCCCCTGTCAGTTTCCAAAGAAAAGCGACTACCATTTTCCTAACGTCTTTGTGTTTTTGTCCTTTGCTATTTCACAGACATGCCCCTTCATTATTTTACATATTATCTGTGACATACATTTTTGCATTGCTCTTATTCTCTTGCCCTCATTACCATGATAAGTGCCAAGTTACTATTGTTTGCAATTTCTCACCATTTATATATATTTATATTATATATATTTTCTTTATATCATCAAAGAACTTTGAGAAAAAGTAGAACCCTCGGTTTTACCCTACCTTGATATATTGGTAGCACTCCCCGCTGATATCGGCACCGGTAGCCACTTGATTAACCGACTTGTCACCATAGGCAATGTATCGGATGAAACTAAAAGGCGCCTCTGCACCTGTTACCAAAGATCGATTTGCCTCCTGGTGCTCGAACGTCGTGATACCTGGCGGAGATAATCAAGAAAAAATTGTAATAACAATGAGTAAACACACGGACAATTTCTCAATGAATAGTAATACATATTAAGTTAGTAATTTCCGTTTTAGTCTTGATAAACTACCCAAAGCTCCAAACAGCAAATATTCTGGTGTTGCTCATTAAGAGAATACGAAGCAGCTGCGCCGTGTGTTTTCCTCAAATTCAGTGATTGGCAAATAAATGAGAGGTGTCAATTGGACTAGGTTGATGGAAGTGCTGTCAGCCATTGGTGTTGATTGGAAAGACCGTAGATTGATTGCATCCTTGTACATGTCTCAGACTGCTAGCGTTCACGTTGGAGATGGGGTCTCTGAACCAGCCATCATTGGACGTGGAACACGTCACGGATGCCTTCTGTCTCCTCTTCTCTTCAATGTCTATGCAGAGGCAATGGTAAGAGAAGCTCTGGCAATGTTAGAAGAAGGAGTGATCGTTGGAGGAGTGTTGATTAGGTCTGTACGGTATGATGATGATCAGGTCACGCTCGCTGTCACTGCCGATGGTCTTCAAAGACAGATGGTGCAGATGGATCAAGTGGTCAGGAGCTATGGCATGAGAATGAACGAGACGAAAACGAAGGTGATGATGATAAGTAAAGGCAAGACAAAAGAAATAACTATCATGATAAATGGCAACAGACAAGTGCAAGACAACCACTTGAAGTATCTAGGCAGTGTGCTGACTGAGGATGACAAGTCTGCCAAAGAGGTCAACTTGCGCTCAGCTCTGGCAAGAGCTGCCTTCTTTCAAAGACAAGATATCCTGATGAGCCACAACATTGATCTTAGTTTGAGAAAACGTCTTGTGAAGTCCCTAGTATGGAGTGTACTGTTGTATGGGGCTGAGACGTGGACACTCACTAAAAAAAGACATGCAGCGATTGGAGGCGGTCGAAATGTGGTGCTGGCGCAAATTACTAGGTGTGTCTTGGAGGGACAGAGTTTCGAATGAAGAGGTGTTGCATCGAGCTCAAGAAAGGCGGGTGCTGATTCAAACGATTGGAGAGAGAGACAGAAGAAATGGCTTGGACACATAATGCGGCATGATTAGGGCTTAATGCTCAGAGTCATAGAAGGTCGTATTCATGGAAAGAAGAAGAGGGGAAGACCTCGTAAAGGCTTTCTAGACGATGTTATCACACAATGTGGAGCAACAGGGTATGAAACGATGAAACGGTTGGCTCAAGACCGAGGAACTTGGAGAGACACGTGATAAAGAATTTTGAATGGGTCACTGAACCTGTCATAAACTGACAGATCACTATTGATGATGATGAAAAGTAAGTCAGATCCCGACCGTCATAATTATGATTTACCTTTTCATTTTCCCTTTGTTTCCTGATTCCTGTCATGCAGTACATTTTAAGTAAACGACGTTTTTAGACTTGTAAATATCGAAAAGATTACAATATTCATGTGGTATTGTAACTTTGTTATTTTTGTCACTATTGCACATGACCGATTCGTGACTACTTTAATAATAATTTATCGTTGATATGTTACCTGTGCTAGCATCCGTAGTCATATCACAGTATACTCTGTATGGATCGACTCCATTATTTCTCCCATCAGGATCTATTGTGTAGTATCCATTAGATGTATAACCTTTGCGCTTCCATTCAGCACAGGAAACTGATCAAGAGAAATGAAGAGGAAGGAGAGTAAATAATTATATCAAGGAGTTTTTTTTTCGGTCCTACTCGGACATGAATTTAAGTCATCATGGTATAGCTATTGATCGATCAGTTAAGTGTGACTGAACCTCTCACTGAACGTCTTCAAATGACACAGATCCTGGATTTACAACAAACAATAAATAACATATTTAAGTAAAAATATATCATTATAATTCAGCAGATAGGCTACACTAAGCAATACAGCTAGTCTAGAGCTAAGAGACCTTGTTTTACAAGGTGGAAAGTTCACTAAAGCAATTTCTATGTATAACGTTGAATTGTATTCGAAACCTGAGTCATAGAGACCATATATTTATTATAAACATTCTGGATCTGATTATAGAGTGTGACTTACTGGTGTTAAGCGGGTATTTACAGATGTAGCCGTATGTTGACGAGCAGTCTGCACCATTCCATGTACCGTCTGAACTCCATCGTAATACACCACAATGATCAGATCCACCAGCTAAATAAAGAGATAACAATATCAGAAAAGAGGAGCTTAGCTCATAAGCTATATTTCATATTTGATTTAAGAACTGTTGTTGTTGTGAAACATGCTCCAGTAATAATTGCTCGGCGATCAACATCCTACCCTATAACCGAACCCTGCAACTAAATTAAACACTCCACCCAGCATACAAGTATACTCTTACAATAAAATGTAAACTAACATTCTAGTGCAACGCAAACCCAAGCCCTTATTCTGTATCTTTGACGAATCACAGTGCGGATAAATTTTGTAGGAGCGCCGAGGTGGTACCTTCAGAATTGTGTTCAGTGATCAATAATGTATTGTTATGAATGGAAAGAAGTTAAGCTTGAATGAATTATGCTTATATTTCAGTCTCTATCGGAGGGACATCCACGCCTAACATGCCTAGAGCTTTTACCTTTCTGCAAAATGAATTTGTTGTTATTTACTTACATGGTTCTCCAGAATACCAGTTGGTATAAGATGAAACTGAGCCATCAGTCCATGCCCAAGTTCCCTCTTCATCGAGGTCATTGAACCCAATCCAGTAATAATTCGTATCAAAGGTACGTCTGTGTTTTTCATAAATAAAAATGGAAACACAGTTAAACAATCTTTTCATAGTAATACCCTTAAAAGGCCCATGATACAGCACTGATCAAAACGTGTGGTAGCATAAATTTGTAGCGCGTTGTATTTGAAAACAGAAATCTTACCAAATTTACATGGCTTCATATCATGAATCTAAAAAGGAATTTCGTTCTTGAACAATGTATTTGACGTTTAAATATGTCAAATTTAAAGCAAAGTGCAATTTGGTGCCCTAGCATCGGCTCCGATCTCGCTGATAAAACTGTGATGGCGTTTGAGCCCCTGAACATACTCGTCCACAGGCCACGCTCTGCGCATGCTTGTGGGTGAAAGGTGGCATGGGAGGGTTCGCAGCTAAAGGTGTGCGTGTGGGTGAGGGTTGCTTTCAATAGAATATCCCATGATGTGGCTCATGTATTCGAAGAAGGGGGAGGGGTCGGGGGTAAGGGCTTACCTCGAATAAACGAAAAGAAAGTTGCTTTCGTCTTGATCAGCTACGCTCGCCAGATCACCGTAGTCATTGAGATTTCTGCACGCATCAAGGGCTGTACTATAGTCGACGGTAGATTCAACTAGTTGGTAGCATGCATTACCGTTACGTGTCCAACCAGCGTCACACAGATCCTGATCACTGGTATCATCATCTAGATGATATATAATTGTACAAATTCAAATCAACTTGTCTATACATTAATTGAGTAAATTCTGTAAATCGCTACGATTCCTTTGATAAGGGACCAATCTTTAATTTCTATATCTTCATCTTTAAATAGGTAGCCCCACCTTTTTTTTTTTACAATGCATGTCATTCGCAATGGCTTACCCACAGAGGATTGTGTCCTTCAAATGAATTTCCGTTATGAAGATATGATCATAAGCTGATTTTCTCAAAATGGCGCTTGGATGACGTCACAAGTACTTGATAATCTTGTACATGTTTCTGTCATGTCTTATGACAATGACCTATGACTGTGCCGAAATTGAAAGAAATTGACCAAACCTATCTTGAGTAATCGCTTGCACGAAAAAGTGGAGAAATACAAAAATGAAAACAAAGAAAGACAATTCTGACGAAATTAAAAGGTGATCTGTCGTTAACAGACCACCTCATAACCAAAGAAAATTCTGACGAAATCAATAGTTGATCTGTCGTTGCCAAACCACCTAATTCCCACATGAGCTGGACAGAGGGATACAAGAGGAATCAGAATGCATGCACTTGGAAGGAGAGAGGAAAGTAAGGAAACATGGTAGGGGTGCAATAAGAATACAAAGGGCGATGGGAAGAGCTAGAGAAAATTAAGAAACATTAACAGACATAATAGAGATAGAACAAGAACCAGAGGCGGGAAAGGGAGAGGGTGAGAGAGAAGAATAAGGACCTGATGACCTTGAAAAGGTTGCTGTTACGTCTTATGATAATGACCTATGACTGTGAAAAAAATTGAAAGAAATTTGCTGAACCGAGTTTGAGTAATCGTCTGCACAGAAAAGTGGAGAATAAAGAAAAAAGAAAGAAAATTCGGACGTAATTAATAGGTAGTCTGTCGATGAAAAACCACCTAATGAAGCATTACCTTTTTTTGTCTCGGGGGGCTTCGTTCATGAACAATATTTATTTTCTAACGTTTTCAATTTTCTGTTTTGTTTTCTTTCATTTTCTACCATTTACTATATTTTATTGTTATTGTTTTATTCCGTTTAATGAATTTGTTTCTAATTATGTTAATTATTTGTAAATGTGAATTATTTTGATTTTCCAATAAAAACACAAATTAAAAAAATGAAAAAAGGAATAAAGAAAGAGAATTCTGACGAAACCAATAGGTGATCTGTCGAATACGATAGACCATATAAATAGCGCATAGATATGCTACGGCGGTGATACGAGCTATAAAAGCACTGAAGTATTACATCATTAATTTGTAATTTGGTAGGAACTTATTCAAAGCTTCTAAAATATGTAATAGTGATTATCATGAATGTATAAGAATAATAATATCAAAAGAGAATTTGTTTTCGTAAGTTTCCAAGATCTGCTGACTACTCTGCCTCTCGCGGTATAAAATTTATTGATATCCTTTAAACATGCGTTTTTTTAAACAATGTAATAATTTATTCAAATATATTTGTGGCTTACACCCAGAACATAAGATCGATTAATCGATCTGTAATTGAAAAACAAGTCAGAACAAATGTAGAACTAGCGGGACTTGAGCCTGTATCTATTGCTAACAGTTAGGTTATGATTTTTTCTTCTTCATCTATCATAGATGGAGTGATCAATCGATCTTATTTACTGGGTGTAAGCCACAAATTTGTTTAAATAATTGTAATTTCCCCCAGGATTCCAGGAAGCATTGCATTTATAAATGTTATTATCATATGGCGGACTAATGAATATTAATGAGTCAGAATGAATCAGGAGAGCTTGGGTATTTGTTTCTAGTTCATCTTGACTTTGCCATGGACAGGTGATGGCCTGGTGGTTGAGTCGCTGCCCGGCAAGCAGTAGATTCAGGTTCAAGTCCCGCTGGTTACAAGATTTTTTTTTCTGACTTGTTTTTCAATTACAGATCGATCAATCAATCTCATTTACTAAGTGTAAGCCACAAATATTTCTAAATAATTGAAATTTCTCTCAGGAAGCATAACATTTATAAAAGAACTAATCATTGATAAAAATACACTTCATGGTATAAACAAACGGTAACGAACATTGAAATACATAAATACATATCACTATCAATTCGTATCTTGCCAAAGAAAAGAAAAGTAAAATGATTTACCCACCAGTAAATGGGTCTTCAATGCGGTCCACTGAGGAGACAAAGGTGGGAAAAAAAGATTTGGATTAATATAAAAATTGAATCTTGTCAATGCAAAGTGTATCACAGTCAGGTGGAATTCTGCCTATAGCTAGGAGTTAATTGGACACTTCGGATTAGTTTTAAAAGCGAACGGTAAATCCAGAAACATCGATTACATTAATTTGCAAACACAGGAGGTTTCTTACGATTGTTTAATGAATGCCTGGATGTATTGGCTGTGGACAGATCGACTGACTGAATGAGTGTTGAATTAAATCGAACGGCTGTTGTAAATCAAATACAATGTCACCACATCAGCGCCCTCTGAGCTAAGTAAGAATCCAGAAGACTGACATGGAACTGAAAACTTACTGATCCGAACAAACAGGTGAGAAACATGATCGCTAGATGGGTCAACAGTGAAGTCATTCTCCTCACTGAGATAGCACATGCTGGAGGATGGAGTATAGTCAAACGATCTACATATGAATGTGAAGGCTGACACACAGGCCGTGGCGCATTCTTCAACCGTTACGCTAGACAGGACTGCGTTGTTGTAAGCACTAAGATGCCTTTCTTTGATGAACATGAAATCTGTACGACCCGTCACAAGGACTAAGGAATGGAAAGAAAGGACGAAGCACAGGGTCAGTGTCATTTCACCAAATTTTTTACCAGAATGGTAATCCCGGATTTTTATATCATCGGGATTTTATCAGTATCATCTACATTGTCGTCGTCATCGTCATCATCATGGACATCATCAGCAGCATAATAATAATAACCGTCATCATCGTCATCATTATCGCCATCATCATCATTATATTCATCATTTAAATCATTATCTGCATTGTCAACGTTACCATCAACTTTATCATCTAACAAGTATGATAAACCACCATTTCTCGGAGCGCAAATTTAATTTAGTTTCATACTACTTCTCTTTCTGGGAGTCATAATGCCAGATACGTTTATTTACAACTTTTTTATGGATAACAAATTTTTACGAAGCTATGTAATAATAAGTGATCGTTTTCATATAAAACTTACAAGATTCATCTCCCTTGCAGTATAATGATCCTAGTGTATAGTACCCGAACTCGATGGTGTCTCCTGTGTCACCAAACCTCATTTCAGTAACTGGTAATGTAGTCTTATCGGTAAGATACCCCGAGTCCTCTCTCCAGATATAGTCATTGGTATCGCAGTTGCATGGGTGACCGTTTGGGCATGAACCTGAAAGACGAAGATCAAGATCCATTCGTTCATAGCTTATCTCGATGGGTTATGTAGGTTGTTCATTTGAAATTAAACGTATTTACATCTTTCTCCGATGTGCTTGGTTTTTGCTTTAGTTCGCAAAAAGCTGCAATGTTGACAACTTTTGAAACGCCAATTCTTCGGTTTATGTGGACAAGTACTTCACTATTTGAGATAATGTTTTACAATGACATCACTGCCTGTTGCATTTATGTGAGATAATCCTATTCCATTCAGTGCAGAATAATCAATATACAGAGTTTGAACAACACGGTTCTAGTTGGTTACAATATTGCGAATACTACTTTGTCGAGGGCTAGCACCAAAAAAAGATGAATAAGAATACGTCATGTTGTAACCAACTGATGCCAAGTTGGCCAAACTCTGTACATGGATGGCTCTGATCCAGTAAGCCAAGGACGCCCTCTATGGTGACCTACAATCATACCTGAGATTCCACAAGCGCACTGTCCGCTGTCTACCGTGGCTCCACCCCAGTAGTTCTTCCGCCTTCCGTCTCTGTCATACCAAGCAGCAAAGCCAGTTATTACGGAAAGAAAGCATTCGTACTAAGACGATGATGGAAGAGGGAAAAAAAATATTACCTTGAGATTGCTGTAAATCTGCGATCACAGGAAAATAGGTAATGTTACACCCTAGATATGATGTAGCATGATGTGATTGGTCCAGAGCTCGTCACGTGATATCAATTGTGAGGATCCAAATTGTTATATTCCTGGCCGGTCACTTTTCGGTGTTACATTAATCAGCTGGTGAAATGAATATATTTTTAATTAATGCATGTCGCCCTCTTGAGGACTGTATGTCACCAATTACACACAATACACCATTATCGAGGGTAAACAAATTTTTTTCAATATTTTTTTTTCATGAATTTTTTTTCCCCTTGAAATTATTTTGTCCACAATTTTTTTCTTCCCCAAAAATGATTTTTGTGATGAGAATTTTTTTTTCGTTTTTTTTTTCTCCCCTTAAATTCCATTTTATAAATTTTGTTATAAGATTTTTTTTTGTAAGGTTTTTTTTTTCCTTCTTGAATTATCTCGAAATATAATTGTTCCCATTTTTTTTGTTCTCACTTTTTTTTCTAAAATTGTGATTGTCCCCTCCCCCCGACAAAATATATAACATTCTTTGGACCTGGAGGGAGTTATATTTTCCCTCGTGACCATATTTCCCTCAGCGCTGCGCGCTTCGTGCAAACATAACCACTTGGGAAATATAACTCCCTTCAGCGGTCCAAATAATGTTATTTTACACCCCTGTCAGTCAATAACCGTATACTATTCGAAACAATCATCTTATCGTTCATTATCAATATCTACATGTATCTTCTGAATGATCACTGGTCTTCCCTCTTTCAATTTTCAAAGAAAAGCGACTCCCATTATCCTAATGTCTCTTTTTTTTTCTTTCGTAACTATTCCACAGACATTCCCCTTGAAGTTCATTATGTTTAATACATATTATCTGTGGTATACGTTTTGTATTGCTCTTATTCTGTCGCCCTCATTACCATGATAAGTGCCATGTATTGTTTGCATTTTCTCACTTTTTATATATATATACCATCAAAATGATGTACAATACAGGTCATATGCCTGAAGATCGTAAAAAAAATTGATATTTGTGCCAATTTCAAGAAGCCTAAGGCAAGTGTATGTGAATATGTCCGGACAATTAGCCTTACTGGCCATGTAACCAAGTTGCTCTTAAAGATCATTCTCAACAGAATAAAAATTCAAATTGACAATAAAATAGGTAAGGAACAGTTTGGTTTTAGACCTCAAAGTGGTACTAGAGAAGCAATATTCTGTATGAGAATGATGACAGAGAGGTATATTGCAGTATAAAATAAAGAAATATATGTGTGCTTTATTGACTACTCTTAAAGCATTCGACAAAATTCACCACGACAAATTGAAAGCTTTAAGAAAATAAATCTAGATGATAAGAACATACGTCTCATATCTAAACTTTAGTGGGAGCAGACAGCTGCAATCAAATTTTACAATGAAATTACAGGTTATACAAAAATCAAAAGAGGATTACGTCAGGGATGCGTAATGTCCCCATCTCTGTTCAACTTGTGCACAGAGTTGGTATTCAGGGACATTTCAGATATGAAAGGTGTTAGTATTGGGGGTGTAAATATTAATAATTTACGTCATGCCGATGACACTGTACTTAGCGCAGAGAATGAAGCAGATTTGCAACATGTACTGGATATTGTAAAAGTCAAGAGTGAAGAGTTTGGTCTAAGCATGAATGTCAAGAAAACTAAGTCACTGATTTTTAGTAGAACAGAGAATAAGCCTAAAATATGTTTGAAACTCGATGGACATATCATTGAGCAAATCAGTAATTACATCTACTTAGGACAAAATATTACAGAAGATGCCAGATGCGAAGCAGAAATAAAAAGAAGAATAAAAATTGCTCGGAATACATTTCTGGCAATGAAAGGATTATTCACAAATAGAAAGGTGAAATTTGCGCTTAGGTTGAGACTAGTAAACTGTCCTATTGTATGGTCTGTCCTATTATATGGAGCAGAAACATGGACAATAAACAAGGCCATGGAAAATAGAATAACATCTTTTGAAATGTGGATCTACAGAAGAATGATGAAAATATCCTGGAAACGAATGAAAACAAACAAAGTGATATTGCACATGGCAGGGCGTAAACAAATTGCACTAGTAGGGTTAGTTAAGGAGAGAAAAATCAAATACTTTGGTCATGTTTAAAGGTACCAAAGCCTCTTAAAAATGTATTGGAAGGAAGAGTGGAAGGAAGTAGACCTAGAGGGAGACCCAGAATCAACTGGGAAGAGAATGTCAAGAACGAGAGTGGACTAAAACTGCAAGAGTGCACCAGAATGGCAGAAGAGTGAAATGGAGAGATGTTGCAATCAACCTCCGAACCAGGAGAAGATACTTAGATAGATAGATAGATATATACCATCAAGGAACTTTGAGAAAAAAGTAGAACCCTCGGTGTTACCCTACCTTGATATATTGGTAGCACTCTCCGCTGATATCGGCGCCGGTAGCCACTTGATTAACCGACTTGTTACCATAAATAATGTTTCGGATGAAACTAAAAGGCGCCTCTGCATCTGTTACCAAAGATCGATTCGCCTCTTGGTGCTCGAACGTCGTAATACCTAGCCGAGATAACCAAGACAAATTGTAAAAATAATGAGTACACACATGGACAATTTCTTTATGAATAGTAATACATGACCGATTCTTGACTTCTTTATTTATCGTTGATATGTTACCTGTGCTAGCATCCGTAGTCATATCACAGTATACTCTGTATGGATCGACTCCATTATTTCTCCCATCAGGATCTATTGTGTAGTATCCATCAGATGTATAACCTTTACGCTTCCATTCAGCACAGGAAACTGATCAAGAGAAAGGAAGAGGAAGGGAGAGTAAATCATTTTATCAAGGAGTTTTTTTTTCTTCGGTTCTACTCGGACTTGAAGTTTAAGTCATCATGGTATCATTTGATTTGATTTGATTTGATTTATTGGTTTGTTATTGATCGATGAGTTAAGTGTGACTAAACCTCTTACTGAACGTCTTCAAATGCCGCTGATCCTGGATTTACAACAAAAAATATATGACATATTTAAGTAAAAAGACATTATTTTATTTTATTTTCACCTATATCATTATAATTCAGAAGATAGGCCACACTAAGCAATAGAGCTAGTCTCGAGCTACGAGACCTTGTTTTTACAAGGTGGAAAGTTCACTAAAGCAATTTCTATGTATAACGTTGAATTAAATTCGAAACCTGATTCATAAAGACCATATATTTATCATAAACATTCTGGATCTGAATATAGAGTGTGACTTACTGGTGTTTAGCGGGTATTTACAGATGTAGCCGTATGTTGACGAGCAGTCTGCATCATACCATGTGCCGTCTGAACTCCATCGTAATACACCACAATGTTCAGATCCACCAGCTAAATAAAGAGATAACAATATCAGAAATGAGGAGCTTAGCTTATAAGCTATATTTCATATTTGTTTTAAGAACTGTTGTTGTTGTGAAACATGCGCCAGTAATAATTGCTCCGCGATCAACATCCTACCCTAACCGAGCCCTGCAACATTATTGAACACTCGACTTAACATACAAGTAACCCTTACAATAAAATGTGAACTAAAATTCTAGTGCAACGCAAACCCAACCCTTATTCTATATCTTTGACGAATCACAGTACGGAGAAATTTTGTAGGAGCGCCACGATGGTACCTTCAGAATTGTGTTCAGTGATCAATAATGTATTATTATAAATGAAAAGTAGTTAAGCTTGAATAAATTATGCTTGTATTTCATTCTTTATTGGTGGGACATCCACGCCTACCATGCCTAGCGCCTTTACTTATTCTGCAAAATGAATTTGTTGTTATTTACTTACATGGTTCTCCAGAATACCAGTTGGTATAAGATGAAACTGAGCCATCAGTCCATGCCCAAGTTCCCTCTTCATTGAGGTCATTGAACCCAATCCAGTAATAATTCGTACCAAAGGTGCGGCTGTGTATTTGATAAATAAAAATTGAAACAAAGTTAAACAATCTTTTCATAGTAATACCCTTAAAGGGCCCATGATACAGTACTGATTAAAACGTGTGGTAGCATAAATTTGTAGCGCGTTGTATTTGAAAATAGAAGTTCTACCAAATTATCATGGCTTCATATCATGAATCTAAAAATGAATTTTGTTCATGAACAATGAGTTTGGCGTTATGTCAAATTTAAAGCAAAGTGCAATTTGGTGCCCTAGCATCGGCTCCGATCTGGGTGATAAAACTGTGATGGCGTTTGAGCCCCTGAGCATACTCGTCCACAGGCCACGCTCTGCGCATGGTTGTGGGTGAAAGGTGGCATGGCAGGGTACGTGGCTAAAGATGTGCCTGTGCGTGTGGGTGAGGGTTGCTGTCAATAGAATATTTCGTGATGTGGCTCCTGTATTCGAGGAGGGGGTCGGGGGTAGGGGCTTACCTCGATAATACGAAAAGAAAGTTGCTTTCGTCTTGATCAGCTACGCTCGCCAGATCACCGTAGTCATTGAGATTTCTGCACGCATCAAGGGCTGTAGTATAGTCGACGGTAGATTCAACTAGTTGGTAGCATGCATTACCGTTACGTATCCAACCAGCGTCACACAGATCCTGATCACTTGTATCATCATCTAGATGATATATATATAATTGTAAAAATTCAAATCAACTTGTCTATACATTGATTGAGTAAATTCTGTAGATCGCCATGATTCTTTTGATAAGGGACTAATCTTTCATTTCTATTTTTCATTTTGTTGGCCGTAGCAACCACACAGAGGTGACAAAAGTTGCGATCAGCCATGGATCAAGTCTTTCGTATACTTTGTGCATGGGGTATCATAATTGACTAATAAGGTAATTGATAGAGGTCATCTCACCGATTTTGTTTTATTTTCTACTTTATAAAATTTATTTGTTCGTTTGTTGCCCAGTTGCTTTTTATTCGGTATTTGTTACTGGCTCCCCCTCCGTCTTTTTTAAAATTTTATTCATGGGATTGACCGTCCCCTCTTTTCGGGTTCTTTGCAACCAAGTCGGAAGCAAGTAACCGCACCTCTAATGACATTCAATCTTACTTTTTGGGCAGTCTATTCTCAAGATTGTGATGCCTGTAAATGACATGTAATGTCGTACTCTGGTCAAATACAAAGAGGGACAGACGAGTCATCTGGAGATATGGGAAATGGCCTGAAAGCCGTTTTTTAAGGGTGGCCAAACGTTAATTCTCGACCCTGCTCCCCAAAGTTCTCTTTTCTGTGGTTGGAAAATTTGAACAAAGCGTCATTTTTTAAATGTCCGTGGAATGTCTGTATTACTTTAGAAATGTCCGTGTCTGTCTTATTATTAGCATTTGTCACCGGTGAGCCGCGTAGATATCAAGGGGGTGGGGTGTCATATAAGGGCCGGTCACATTACAATTTTGTCCGATAAATATAACGATAACGAGATTTTTCGTTAAAGGTACACCCGAGAGCTACCCTACTATTAACAGACATGCACATGCTCACACAAATAGTAGGTTGTACCTTTGATTCAAATCTCGTTATCGTTATCGGACAAAAAATGTGATATGGGCGTGACACCATCCCCACTAAATATTTTTGTTGGAAAAAATGTGTACATTTTGAAATTTTACCACTGTGCATGCAGTGGCGTAGCTACGAATGTACGGGGGGAGGGAGAGGGCGGGCGGCACGGCACGTCAATTTGATGGCCAAAAAATATGAAAGAAAAAGAGAAAAATAGAACAGAAGGGAAAAGGGAAAAGGAAGAAAAAAGAAAACAATTCGCCCCTATTTTCACGAAGTGACGGTAGTGAGGAAAATCGTAACGCAAAGTGAATGCAATTTTTTTCACTACCGTCACTTCGTGAAAACAGCGACGAATTGGACCCCTTTTTGCATCACCCCCTAACTAGCGGCCTTCTAAATTCGCATTGAATTGAAGACCGATATGTATGTGAGTAGTTCCTATATCTCCCTCTCTTGTTTCGGCGAGGGGGGGGGGGGACGGGCAAGGCACGCTCGCCCCCTTGTATCCGCGCCTGCATTCAGGCACTTCTTGAGCGTTTTAAAACAAACCACGTCCACCTTTTAATGTCAGCTAGTGCTTTGAACCATACCTTAACCTGTTAAAAATATAATTAGAACTTTAATGAAAAAAAATAGAAATTGTTTATTTTTTCTCTTCATGAGTAGCATGATTGCCCAGGCAATATCTACTTTTCATTCACTTTTTAAAGAGAAGACGATAGAAGTAAAGCAAAATAACATGGAAAGATATAATTAGCTGGTGGCGGTCAGATAATTCTTTCATTCCTTACGTTGTAGATAGAAAGAGGAAATGATAGGAAATAGAAACAAAGAATATCCTTACATAAGGAAAGATAAAAGGAGAATACGATAGAAGGAAAAGTCAAAGATTAAGGAAATGCAGATAGAAAGGGGAAATGAATGAAAATAAAGAATAACATAAGGAAAGATAGAATTATCCGGCGGTCGCATAATTCACTGGCTCTTATTCAGTAATAGTTTTCTTTTTTCCTTTCATCTCTCTCCTTTTTTTGAACTTTTGATATGGAGAGGGTATTATTAGGGGGGGGGATGCTCAGTCGTTACGGTTTTCCCTCCCTCCTTTTTAGGTAACTTATTTCATTTTCAGAATTATGAACCTTATTTCATTTTTGTTAATGAGATATATATCGAATCAAATAATACTGAGTGATGTTATCGAGCAACTTAGTTTAAAGCCACGAAAGACTAAACTGTCATGAAAATAATCACTATGATATTTACAAAACTAGCTAGATTAGGGAGCGTATGCCACTCCGAGGAGCGTCCGAGGACTGTATTGCTATTTTGCATATTAAACCTGTTTGTACTTGGCTTCGTGGAGGAATTCTTCCATTAAATAGTGATTCTCTTTAATCCGCAGCAACGCAGTGGCGTAATGAGCAAAAACGTTATATATGTTTGTTTGTGTTTTTTTTTTTTTTTGGGGGGGGGGCTGAAAAAAATCTGCATCACACCACTATTACATGCGGGCCCCGCTGAACGTTTTTCAATGTGGGTCTAGGGGCAAAGCCCCGGCGGGGGTCAAGGGGCGGAGCCCCCGAAGCACAAGGGGTATATTAGGGACTTTTAGATTTGCACTTTGACAGCTTTGACTGCAACGTGTGACGTCATGCGCATGCGTCACGTCGTCTCAGTCGGCGATCGAGAATGCGTCAACCTTGATTTTACCAAATCTAGTACATACATACATACATATTGATATTTATATAGCGCCTTCACATAAACATGCTCAAGGTACTAGTATATGCCGCGTGCGCATAAAATATACAGTTCCTCAGTTTAACAATGTGTAGAACAGGTGTCACATGAATATTCACCTATTCTACACATTTTTACGTAATAGCAGTGAAGGAATGTTCTTTTGTCTACGTACATTGTACCACAGCAATTGTTGAGGGTAAAATAAGGAACTGTATATTTTGTCCTCTTTTTTTGTCCGTCATGTTCATAGTGTTACTTCCTGCATGCATGTATATCGTCGAGTGCAATCTAAAATATTTCTTATTGTAGTCAACATGAGCAGTTGAGTACGTTGACACGCATGATCAGTCGGCGTTCGTCGTGTTCTCGTCCACTCAATTTAAAAGTCCCTATTGTCTTTAATACACGACAAGGAATCAGTATACAATCGGTATTCCTGTCTCAAATTGTATTACATTGTTTGTGATTATATACACATTATGTTATAATAGTCGAAGAAGGTGATGAAATCAAATAATCAAAGGAAGCACAACACAAATTGACCCACCAGGAATCGAACGTGGGTCACCGGAATGGGAGTCGACTGCTCTAACCACTATACCAAAATATGTCCCATAGACATAACATGCAAAGCAGACAAACGGCCTTGGCATAGTCGCAATTTGAACTTTCAATTGAAAATTTCAAAATGATCCCAACATCTGATTTTAAACAAAAAGGAAGGCACCCTAACGATAGTTCATAGTATCAGCTGTAACATACTTAAATTGGGGGGGGGGGTTAGAAATTGTCACTATGATGACGTCATCAAAATGAAAGATAATAATAACTGATCTTGTAAAGAATTGTTTCAGCTAAAACATATCAGAATTTGGTAAAAAATCAATCATTATTTACAGAGATACGCTCAACGTTCTATAAATCAGACGCTCATTTGTTCCGGATTCAACTCACATGTTCAACAGTAGGATAAAAAGAGGGCAAGCAATGTAGACACTGTACCCTTTTTATTGATTTCCTCCATTCCATTCCTATGCAAGTAATCAGATCGTATTTTTAGATGAAACGCCATTGATGTTATGTTGTTATTATGTTTTATAATCTGTCTAATTGTGTACATTTCCTTGAAACACACATGTACTAGTGAACAATGAATTTCCATATTATGGACAATAAATCAATTCAATATGCTGACGTCATAATATGAAAATATGTATGTTGAGTTCAAAGCCATTATGATGACGTCAGAATAAATTGAATGGCCAAATGAGACACAAAATCATATTTTCGTCTCAAAGTTGATCAAAATATGAAGGAAAAATGGCGGTCAGCTTGCATCCTAAAGAGCTACTGTGGATTTTGTATAGGCATGCTTTGCGCGCACGGACATTTGTCTTGAACAGACGCTCATCCTATTAGTAATGGTCATAAAGAGATAAATATGGTATCAAATTGTTCGGAAAAGTTTGGAAAATATCATAAAAATATCATGCTTGTGTGGACGATTTTGGGGAAATGGTCATAGTGGCTTAGAACGTGTGATAAATGAATTTGAGACGATTTTTAAAAATATTTTGCGCGCGCACTGACGCACGGACGTACGCGTACGCGTGCGTTTTAAATTGACCGGACGGATATTGACCTTGATAAATATGAATGAGAAATGACATTCCGTAATGAAGATATGATAATGATTTGATTTTCAGAAAATTTCACATAATGGCGCCTTGATGACGTCACGATTACTTGATGAACAAGAAAATGTTCCTGTCACGTCCAAGGGAGTGACCTATAACTGTGCAAAAATTCAAAGAAATTGACTTTACGAGATTTGAGTTATTTGAGTGTTAGAAAACGAATGAGCAAAAAGGAGAAGGGCAAGATAAAGAAGGAGGTGGAGAAGTAGAAGTGGTAGAGGAAGAGGAGACAACTGTGACATTTGCCATGGAAGATAAATTGCAGTCATTAAAAAAAATTAAAAAAAATATGGTTAAAATAGATTTTTTTTACTTCGATACAGTGTAGTGTTTCCATTATAAAGATACAAAGATTATACCCAAGTCTGAATAAAAAAGAGGTATGGATATCAAATATAATCTATATCAAATCTATTTAAAATGCTGTCACATTGTACTAAAAGTTCTGGAATGTAACAATATTCAGATCCCTACTATAATTTTGGCAATATTGAAAAACGTCTGTTTTCGTGTTGAGTTTAAGTGATGGTATAGTGCTGTTTTGCACTCTGTTTGTTCGGCAACGAAAAACCGAATACGCCATGGCTGAAAAGGATATATTTTGTAAGTGCATTATTGGGGGGATATAGCTGGGTTAGTTTAGGACCTGATCCCAGTGAATTGAGTTATGGGTGAGACATAAAAAGGGAAGTTAGAGAAGTTTTGGAGAATCAAAGGAGGGGAGGAGGAGTACGAATTAAAACAAGACTTGCAAGTCTTATTGTCTTTGCTTACAACTGGGACTGGTGTATGAGTTTTTAACCCAGGATAAAGTGAGGATATTTTTGTATGGCATGTGTTAAGTACAATGATTTGAGCTACCATGTGAAATTAGAACGATGAGAAAACTAATACCTTTTATGAATAATATACAGATCTAAGCATGATTATAATACTACTACTACTACTAATCATGATTAATATCTTGCCAAAGGGTATTTTTGCCCGGTTTGGATTAAATTGGACCCTCAACCCTTGGATTGAGAGTCAACTGAATGAACCAATGAACCACGACACCTTCACAAAACATCCTCCTCTTCTACAGAATACAGGCGATGTCACACAGAAAAATCCCGACCCATCTTGAATTAACCATTTTAGAAATTTTTTTTTTTTCATTTACGTCGGTGACAGACGGATTTTTGGGCTCTGTGTGACACCGCCTTACACATCCACGCCTACATAAAATACCCTAGATGATTTGGTTTGCTTGTAGTTACTTGTGAATTAGGGAGTAAGTAAAATTTAAAAATGGAGACATGAAAACCATGGAGGAGCCTATTCAAAAAGGTAATATTAAAGCCATCATAACTGCAATAAGTGCATTATAGGCTCTCGTTTCACAATTCGTTTATTTTACCTTGCAATGTATCTCCGTGAAGGCTGTTCATCAACACCAAGATGGCCAACATCTGCATAGACACAGACATGATTCGATGAAGGATGTCCATCATACCATGAAACGAGGCTCATCTAAGATATTGCCCCTCTTGATTCGGCTTCCTGTACACAGGTAGTTTGACGTTCCTAGATATTCTTAACGATATTCCAAGCAAAGTAAAAGACTTATTCTAATTTTCCACCAAGCTGTCGTTCCCAGAATGTCAATTGGAAGGTAGACGTAGTTTGGTAGTGGTGTTTTCCCCGTACCAAAACTTGAGGCATAGCTTCCTTTTCCTCGTTATAAATCGAAACAGTGCACTGTTTTTATTGCGGCAAACTTCCTCAAAGTGCAATGAAAGGTGTAAATCGTTCGTCACAAGCCCGTGAAATGTATTGAAATGCACTAGACTCGTTTCGTGTTACATTGATACTGGCAGGGGCGGCGATCCCGGGGGGACGAGGGGGACACGTCCCCCCCCCCCTCGATTTTTGTAGGAGGGGATCGTCCCCCCCCCCCGGAAAATTTGAAAAAGTGCACAAAAATAATGTACAGCAAAAACTGACTAAAGACTTCAACACACTATTAGGCTTTAGAGGGCCCAAGAGAGCAGCGTTTAGACAAATAAAAATGCAAAAATCTCCTGGCTCGGGAGCTATGCTCCCTCGCATAACATCCTTCAAAATGTACATGTAAATATTGTAGAAAAGTGCAGTGTAAAAAAGGTACATTTTTTGTTTTCATACTATAGTTTTGCCAAGGAATATAATTTTGTAATACAACAAAACTTCAAAACCTGTGAGGGGGTACTCACTTTCATCCCCTTCACCCCTCTCATTCACTATGCTCCCTCACTCGGGCTTGGGGCAGTCCCCCCTCCCCCTCCCGATAAAATTCAAAAGTTGTTTATTTCTAATTCGATACCAGTGAATAAATTACAAATGTTGCTGGAAAAGGCATGATAATTCCCTGAGCTTTCGGGGGCTCTGTTCCCTGTACCCCCACCCCACCAAGGGCCCTAAGGTAGGCCCCTGGTTGCTCAGCTGACCATATTCAAAAGCCTAAAACCCTGGGCTTCCGGGGGCTCCGCCTCTAGATCACAACAAGGGCCTAAGGCGGCCCCTGGATGCTCACCTGATCGTAATTTAATGCCTAAAACCGCTGAGCTTCCGGGGGGCTTCGCCTTCCTGGAGCCCACTCCGATTAGTGACCTCCATGCAAGTGTCACAATTAAGGTACCAAAATATGCTCATCTGACCCATATTAAATGCCTAAAAACTCTAAAAAAAAAAAAAAAAAGCTTCAAGGGGCTCCGCCCCTGAACCCCACGCCAATTTACGCCCCACTTGCTTTGATATATCTGTTCGCAAATACTTTAGTCCCCCCCCCCCCCACTCCCACTTTGAAAAATGTTCCGCGGGGCCTGCATGTAACATGTAAGAGCGGTGATGATGCGGATTTTTTTTTCTACCCCCCCCCCCTCCAAAAAAAAGTTTTTGCTTATTACGTCACTCCTCCCTCGTTCCTCGCATTTCGTCCCCCCCCCCCCCCCCCCCCCCAGTCATGAAAAGAAATCGCCGCCCCTGGATACTGGCATGTTGTCATGCTTTTTGGCATATTTGGCATTGTCCTCGTACCTGACACAATGTACCATTCAATCGATACGAATGAGATCATTTGAACTCAAATTCAATTCTTGGGAGCTTGGTTCATTGCACGTTAATACATGTTATTTGCAAGTCAACCCACTCAACTTGATGCATAATTACTTTTTTTAAAGTTGATTCTTGCCTCATGTAAACAACGTAAAGCTACTATGTTAACCGTTCTGGGATAGATGCAGCTAAAGCACTGATGAGATATTAATGTTCGAATCGGTCAAATCAAGATAATATGGTTCTCCCACAACAAGGGAAAACATGATTTGACTGATTTAGAATAATTAATAATAAAATGAGGCATTGGGGCGCGCCACATAAATTTGATTTTGCTTGTCTTTTCTTTTGAAACTTCAGATTCTAAATCGTGTCCCAAACGAAGAGCGTACGCTCAGCACGTTAGTGGATCGTTAACAGGTCGCTGGTATACGTGTAGTAATCACTCTTTTTCAGTTATAAGGTAGTTTTTTTTAGTCTTTTTAAGGTATTTGCCAGTTCGTTCCGTCCAAACTCCAGTAATCTATTCGTCGGGAAACAGTGCGTGTCTGTGTATTCTAACTTTTACAATTCGTTCATGTTAGTTTCTTCAACATGTTATAGTGTAACGGCCCCTTTAACCACAATGATATTGCAAACTTTCCGGTCGTCCACCCTGTCAATATATACTGGCATGTTGTCATGCTTTTTGGCATACTTGGCATTGTCCTCGTACCTGACACAATGTACCATTCAATCGATACGAATGAGATCATTTGAACTCAAATTCAATTCTTGGGAGCTTGGTTCATTGCACGTTAATACATGTTATTTGCAAGTCAACCCACTCAACTTGATGCATAATTACTTTTTTTAAAGTTGATTCTTGCCTCATGTAAACAACGTAAAGCTACTATGTTAACCGTTCTGGGATAGATGCAGCTAAAGCACTGATGAGATATTAATGTTCGAATCGGTCAAATCGAGATAATATGGTTCTCCCACAACAAGGGAAAACATGATTTGACTGATTTAGAATAATTAATAATAAAATGAGGCATTGGGGCGCGCCACATAAATTTAATTTTGCTTGTCTTTTCTTTTGAAACTTCAGATTCTAAATCGTGTCCCAAACGAAGAGCGTACGCTCAGCACGTTAGTGGATCGTTAACAGGTCGCTGGTATACGTGTAGTAATCACTCTTTTTCAGTTATAAGGTAGTTTTTTTTAGTCTTTTTAAGGTATTTGCCAGTTCGTTCCGTCCAAACTCCAGTAATCTATTCGTCGGGAAACAGTGCGTGTCTGTGTATTCTAACTTTTACAATTCGTTCATGTTAGTTTCTTCAATAATGATATTGCAAACTTTCCGGTCGTCCACCCTATTAATAAACTATTTCGGTTATATTTTTCATGTACTTAGGTTTGTATCCTTTATTTAAGTTTCTTTTCCCCCAGTTCTCATTTGTTTCCCTTCTATAACTCACTCTTTCTATAATTATGCTTCTATTTTGCTGTTGTTGCTTTCAGATCCATGCGGTGGTAAAGAGCTATTGAACTAGCCTTCCGAGCTATTGGTATTGGTATATATTTTCTATATCACAATATGTTTATCCTGGCAACAATACAAAGAAAATGCATGTACATTGTAAAATCAATGGTATTGTGAATGGCTGGATAACCATTCAGCTTTTTTAGTATAACAAAACTGTTATTCCCTTGGGTCCAGGAATTAAGACATTAACACTAATTATACAACATGCAATACAACATGAAATAATATAATTTGAATACATATAAAATCTAAAACATATTAGAGAAGCATAAACACCCCCCCCCCCCCCATCCCAAGCATGTTCCATTACAGATCAGAGCAAAACTGATTTCTTACATTTAGATTTTTGCAAAAAGTTTGTAAGCTGTTGGATAGCTTAATAGTTAACGGTAGGTCATTGTACTCGCGCGAGCCTTTATACACAAACATTTTACGGCAGCATTTAGTCTTTGGTTTGGGGAGTTTAATATTTTTTTGTGATCGTAAAGAATATGGATAGTAACAGTATTTGAAGGACTCCTCTAAATAAGGAGGAGCCAAATTGTTCAGGGATGTATAGACCATTATCATGATATTTAAAGGTAACGATCAGTTTTGGAAACGCCCCCTCTCGAAATGGAAGCTCTAGTTACCAATCATGTGAAAGAATATGTTTTGACTAATACGTGATCATACAAATTTTGCCGAGAAACCGCCTATTATTTGATATATTTGGTAAATTGTTATATCTGTTTTGACCTAATAGATATAACGCACGTATCGTGCACGTGTGTGGGTAGTCCCATATAAATCTTGTTGTGTACAGTGCTTGTAACTTAATCAAGACTAGGCCAAATTTCTTATAATTTTGATGATTCAAGAACCTTGCAGTACTCACCAATACTTATATGCTAGATGATCAACCTTTTCTGATCGATTGCACAACTTTTCTTTCACAATGCAATCGCATGACCATAACTGGTCTTTATCTTTAAATGCACTTTACGTCTTGAATGGAGGTAACTTAAGTACATGTACAAGCCACTGCATACTATAGGGCTATACTCTGTCTGTAATAAAATACTTTATTAACTGCATATCGACTATTTAGGTACATATTTTAACACTTTAGATATAAACGATTAGTATTCAAATAATATTCTTCTCATGCTCTTTAAAACTTCATAACAAGAAGTATAGTAACCTTGGCTATATAGTATTAATTACATTGTTTTAATAGGTTTTTATTATTAATATCTTTATTCTATTTCTTGTTATTTCATTATTTCAAAATCCAAATATACTTTTAATTATTGATTCATTTGAGAGAGAGCATACACTCTAAAAAATCAAGTGCTAATGTTGGCACCTCAAGATTTGGAAGCAGCACCTGTACGGGCATGCATAGGGGCTGCCAAAATTGTGCTTAAGTAGCACTTGTACACGTGCTATAATTCAGCACCAGTCCAAGTGCTACCTTAAACACTTTAAGTGTAAGCCTTTTTACATTTCTGGTGCTATTAGACGCATGCAGCTAGCAAAACCACACTTCTAGTGCATTAAATAACCCCGTTTAGAGCCCTCAAAACGGCACTACTAGTGCTAACACTTTTGCACCCAATATAGTGCTAAAGAACACACACAAACAGCGTGCACAAAATCACACCTGTAGTGCTTAACCCGTTCCTTCCGAAATTATTCAGCCTGATAGCCACCCCACAAACGAGATTAAAAATCGAAAACTCGACTCCTTCGCTGCCGTACAATACCGTGCGACTGTTCAGCGCGCGGAACAATGCGTGTACGTTGAAGCGACCTAAAGCCTGGCCAGTCGCTTCGACGAGCAGGAACTTAGCGCATGCGCAGATCATTTGGCAATCTGCC